GAAATGATAAAATTGTCACAGTCTTACTTTCTGTTCAACTTTGATCTGTGTGTCTCATTGGTTTATTTCCTACTTTGTGTTTCTAGATTTATTTTAGTAATCAGGTTTTTCTGTTGTTGCCCTCTTGTGTTTTCCTTTCCCCTTGGCTTCTTCGTTGTCTCCTCTCACACCTGCTTCTTATCTGCTCGTTAACCTTGCCTTTGTTTCAGTCAGCTGCATATACTCTCCCTCTGCTGTCGCTCCTTGTTGGTTCCTTGTTGTTGCTGGTCCTGTCGTCGCTGTTGTCTTCTCACCTCGTCTCTCTTTGGCTCCCAGTGCTCGTTTTTCCCTGATGTCTCCATGGTTCTGGTTTGTGTACATTTGAAGTTGGATTTTACCTCTATTGTCTGTGTTACCATTAAACCACCAAGAAATCACCTCAGCATTTGGGTCCTCAACCTCAACCCTGACAAAAATGTTGTCAAGTTTTCAAGTTTCAAGAATTTATTGTCATTGTCAAAAAAAGGCAACGAAATTATGTTTGGGGTACAATACTTAGTAGCAGCAAGTTCCAAGTAAAGTGCACAAGAGGTAAAAGTGACACCAGTGCTTGACCCCCCCAGCCCCCCCTCCAACCCACTTAAAGTGCAGCAAAGATTATTAAGTGCCATAATGCTTGCCCCCCCCAACACACACACACACGCACGCATGCGCACACACAGAATAAATACACAGCTCCCAACCAGACTATAATAAGGGGGCCCTAATGAATAAGGCAAATCATTCAGAATTCAGAATTTAGGTAGTCCGTTCCTCAAGTCCTGTGAATTCAAGAGTCTTATCAATTGTCAATAAAGCCTGAAAGTCTATATTCTTATGAAAAGGATTATTTTTATCCATATATTTGTTTAATAGGATAAACACTCCTCCCCCTCAGACCCCTGAAGGCCTCGCAGCTCTGAGCCTGAATGATGGAAACTCGGATCTTAGAAATCAGTAAATGGAAAATGGATTAATGGATGTTTTTTTCCCACCACCAGTCAAACATTATTGTTTTTATTGGATTTTTGCATAAATGTTTTCTTGATTCATTTTTAGGTAAAATGTAAAGTTTTTCTTGCAAAATTCTCTTTAACTGACCAGAACCCTCAGAACTTGGTGTCACTGAGTTCCTTCTAAATAAACCTTTTATTTTATGTTGTTTTTCTGCCAAAGTTGAACAGATTTATTACGTTTTCTAAAGTCCTGGAAGGAACATTGCTTCGGACATTGATGTTCATCCATGACTCTGTTGGGTTCTTAAATGAGCCTTTTCATTGGAACCAAAGCACCAAATGAAGACTGAATCAGAGGATTTGATGCTCCAAACATCTGGGAGTTTGAAGAAAAGAGAAGGAACCTGAACCTCTAAGCCCGCCTCCATGATAGAGGAGTCAGGATCTTTAACATCTGCGGTTCTTCATTTTCACAGGTTTGATTCTAGATGAACATCATTTAAGGATCACAGTTTGATCCAAAGCTTCAGATTCTACAGAGTTCTGCCCAGCAGCAGCTTAAAGTCGATCTCTAATGTTGGGACTTTTTGCTGATTTCTGTTTTTAGGGTTGTGTCCTGATCAGCTCGACGGCCCATCAGTGTAATGAGGTTTATGTTTAATCCCATCAAACAGGATAATCCATCATCTCCTAAATTAAACCTGTTGGTTTGCTGCTTCATCCTCTGATGACCTCACGTAGAAACAGGAAGTCTGTCTGTAAACGGCTCCTCTGATCATCCTGTTGGATTTCAGAATACAGTCATTCAGCCTCACATCTTCTGGAACCAGGATCGTCGGCTGCTACTTAGGTTGTTTTCGACCTCCTTAAACTGCTCAGTCCAGCTACCAGGGAGTTAAAAAGGATTTTCTTGTAAACTATTCTGAGGTAGTCATGGAATCTGAACCGGGTTTAGATGCTTTAATCCAGTTGAACTTTCAGAGTTAGCAAAACTATTGTCTTCATCTAAGCCTTCAACTTGGATGTTAGATCCAGTTCCAACCAGGTTATTTAAGGAGGTATTCCCTTTGATCTCCTCCTCCATTCTAGATGTGATTAATCTATCTCTGTTACAGGGATATGTACCAAAGGCTTTTAAGGGTGCTGGAATTAAACCTCTGCTTAAGAAACCGTCTCTTGACCCAGATGACTTGGTCATAGCTGCTGAACCCTAACCTTTCCATCTGATATCAGAGATCTGATTGTTCCTTATGTTCCTAACAGAGCACTTCGCTCTCAATCTGCAGGTTTACTAGTGGTTCCTAGAATTTCTAAAAGTAGAATGGGAGGCAGATCTTTTAGTTCTCAGGCTCCTCTCCTGTGGAACCAACTACCAGTTTTAGTCCGTGAGGCAGACACCCTGTCTACTTTTAAGGCTAGGCTTAAAACTTTCCTTTTTGATAAAGCTTCTAGTTAGAGTGGCTCAGGTTATCCTGATCTATCTCTATAGTTCTGCTGCTATAGGCTTAGACTGCTGGAGGACATAGGGACCCCTTTTTCATCATTCTGCTTCATTCTATCTCTATTCTCCCACTCTGCAGAATCTGTTAGTTCAATCTCTAACGTTCTGCTCTCTCTGCTTTTTCTCATAGTAGCTTCATCTGGTCTGTTCCTGTTTGGCCGTGACTCCATCCTGGAGAGAAATTCTAGGATTCTATCAATAATCAGATATCGATGAGGTTTCTATCAATAATCAGTTATCGATGATGTTTCTATCAATAATCAGATATCGATGAGGTTTCTATCAATAATCAGATATCGATGATGTTTCTATCAATAATCAGTTATCAATGAGGTTTCTATCAATAATCGGTTATCGATGATGTTTCTATCAATAATCAGATATCAATGAGGTTTCTATCAATAATCAGTTATCGATGAGGTTTCTATCAATAATCAGTTATCGATGAGGTTTCTATCAATAATCAGTTATTAATGAGGTTTCTATCAATCAGATATCGATGAGGTTTCTATCAATCAGATATCGATGAGGTTTCTAGCAATAATCAGTTATCGATGAGGTTTCTATTAATAATCAGTTATCGATGAGGTTTCTATCAATAATCGGTTATCGATGATGTTTCTATCAATAATCAGATATCAATGAGGTTTCTATTAATAATCAGTTATCGATGAGGTTTCTATTAATAATCAGTTATCGATGAGGTTTCTATCAATAATCAGTTATCGATGAGGTTTCTATCAATAATCAGTTATTAATGAGGTTTCTATCAATCAGATATCGATGAGGTTTCTAGCAATAATCAGTTATCGATGAGGTTTCTATCAATAATCAGTTATTGATGAGGTTTCTATCAATAATCAGTTATTGATGAGGTTTCTATCAATAATCAGTTATTAATGAGGTTACTATCAATAATCAGTTATTAATGAGGTTTCTAGCAATAATCAGTTATCAATGAGGTTTCTAACAATAATCAGTTATTAATGAGGTTTCTATCAATAATCAGTTATTAATGAGGTTTCTAACAATAATCAGTTATTAATGAGGTTTCTATCAATAACAGGATCAATAATCAGATATCGATGGGGTTTATATCAATAATCAGATATCGATGAGGTTTCTATCAATAATCAGTTATTAATGAGGTTTATATCAATAATCAGATATTAATGAGGTTTATATCAATAATCAGATATTAATGAGGTTTCTATCAATAATCAGTTATTAATGAGGTTTCTATCAATAATCAGTTATTAATGAGGTTTATATCAATAATCAGATATTAATGAGGTTTCTATCAATAATCAGATATTAATGAGGTTTCTATCAATAATCAGTTATTGATGAGGTTTCTATCAATAATCAGTTATTAATGAGGTTTCTATCAATAATCAGTTATTGATGAGGTTTCTATCAATAATCAGTTATTAATGAGGTTTCTATCAATAATCAGTTATTAATGAGGTTTCTATCAATAATCAGTTATTAATGAGGTTTCTATCAATAATCAGATATTAATGAGGTTTCTATCAATAATCAGTTATTGATGAGGTTTCTATCAATAATCAGTTATTAATGAGGTTTCTATCAATAATCAGATATTAATGAGGTTTCTATCAATAATCAGTTATTAATGAGGTTTCTATCAATAATCAGTTATTGATGAGGTTTCTATCAATAATCAGTTATTAATGAGGTTTCTATCAATAATCAGATATTAATGAGGTTTCTATCAATAATCAGATATTAATGAGGTTTCTATCAATAATCAGTTATTAATGAGGTTTCTATCAATAATCAGTTATTGATGAGGTTTCTATCAATAATCAGATATTAATGAGGTTTCTATCAATAATCAGTTATTAATGAGGTTTCTATCAATAATCAGTTATTGATGAGGTTTCTATCAATAATCAGTTATTAATGAGGTTTCTATCAATAATCAGATATTAATGAGGTTTCTATCAATAATCAGATATTAATGAGGTTTCTATCAATAATCAGTTATTGATGAGGTTTCTATCAATAATCAGATATTAATGAGGTTTCTATCAATAATCAGTTATTGATGAGGTTTCTATCAATAATCAGATATTAATGAGGTTTCTATCAATAATCAGTTATTGATGAGGTTTCTATCAATAATCAGATATTAATGAGGTTTCTATCAATAATCAGATATTAATGAGGTTTCTATCAATAATCAGTTATTGATGAGGTTTCTATCAATAATCAATTAATGAGGTTTCTATCAATAATCAGTTATTGATGAGGTTTCTATCAATAACTACGGACCGTCAGATACCTCTTTGATTTTGTGGCGTTTCATCCTCCATTATCAGCATAGTGATGCTAACAGGCTAAATGCTAATGTCTGGATCCCAGCGAGGCATAGATCTGTGAAACATAGAATGCTGCTTTCCAGCAGCAGCAGAACCAACATAGATCTGAGAACCTAGAACCAGTCAAAGGTTCTGTTGCAGATTTCCTTCATAGATTCGTTGTAGACACAGAAACACAGATTCTCATCAAATATCTGATTTATTTTAAATAAACATTCAATAATAAACACATTTAGCAGAAAGACTGAAATGGATCAACCAGAACCAGAACCAGGTCCGATCCACAAGCAGAAACCTTCCCATTCATTAACCGACTGATGAACAGAACCTTTGAGGCCAGTATGATGAGGAGCAGCTCAAAGCCTTCAGAACCAAAGCTGGGCTTTGATCAGCAGACAGAACCACAAAGGTTCTGGAAGCAGATTGGACCGGTTTCTACTGGAGAACAGAAACTGGCAAACTGGTTCTGGAAACTAGTTTGATTTAAAGCTGAAATGAATTTCTCTGGAGGTTCTGATGATCCAGAAATGAAAAACAAGTTTTCAGAACCCCACTAACCGCTCCAGGTTCTAACCCGGGTTCATTGAACTCCCCTTCAGAACCAGAACAGGCAGACCCAGCTCACCTGATGGTACCGACAGCCATTTAGGTCCAATCTGACCTGAATGGAACCAGGAGAAAATGGTTCCGTTATTCATCTAATGGTTCTGATGCAGGAATGATTAGGGTCGGTACCGGTCCAACAGCTAAATCAGCTCTGCTCTGATGGGCGGGGCACTGGGGTCGGTTCTGTTCGGAACCAGAACCTGGAAATGGATCTGAACTTTTTTTCATCATAAAATCAAAGAAACTTATTTCCCTGAAGGGGGGGTCATTTAAGGTAATGCGGGTCAGAACCAGAACTTTTTAGGAACATAATCTGCTGATGGAAGTTCAGAACCGGGCCCCCGGGACCTCCTCTGCAGAACCGGAACCAGCTGGTTCTGCTTGGTCTCTGCATCTGATGAGCGATTCGGACCCTGGGAACGGGTCGGCCCCTCAAAGAACCCGGATTCTGATGCCCAGAACCGGTCCAATCGGGTCCCACCTCTGTTGGACCTGAAACTCTGGGCCAAAGGAACCGCCTGTTTCTGGTTCTGATGGTGGAGGAATGAAATGGTCCGGACCGATCCAAAGGAGCAGAACCGGTTGGGTGCTGGGACGGGTTCTGCTTGGCTCTAGTGTTTTTAGACTATAGCAAAGGCACAGACTGGAGAAGGAGAACCAGAACCAGAGAAACGGACCTGCAGGATCCAGACCCGACACCCAAACAGCCTTTAGTATTCTGGAACAGGAAGTGACATCACAGGTGGAGCAATCAGAACCGTTCTGGCTGAGAGATCTTAGAACCCGTCTAGGTTCCGATCCGATCCCTGTTCTGACCCGGTTCTACCCGGACTAAAGCGGGATGGATCCCTGCAGCCGAGGCGTTTCTATGGTGACAGGTTGGTTCTTAACTGTATGGCTTTAGGACCCAGCAGAACCTCTAGAGTCTCTTGGTGTGCCTGGAGTTGTAATGGCTCCTCATGTCTTTGCGGAGCCGGAACTTCTCGCCGCAGACGCCGCAGATGTACAGGTGGACGTCCATGTGCTTCTCCAGCTGCTCGCCGCCCGGGAAGATCTGGAAGCACACCTGGCAGATGGTCTCCCCGGCCGACAGGTGGGAGATCATGTGACGCACGTGGTCGTGCTTGAGGAAGGTGCCCTGGTCGCAGACGGGGCAGACGTATCGCGCCATGCCGCGGTGCATGTCGGTGTGCAGCCGTAGCTGGCGCTCCCTCAGGAACTGCTTCCCGCAGGTCTGGCAGGTGAACTGTTTCTCCTTGGTGTGGACGGTGTAGTGCTCCCGCAGGTGGCAGCGTTGGTAGAAGCCTTTGCCGCAGATGCTGCAGAAGTGTTTGCGGCGGTGGTCCGGCTCGCCGCCGTCCTCCAGCGCCGCCGGCCGGAACAGGTCCTGTTCGTGGCAGGACAGCGCGTGCTCCAGCGCCAGGCTCTCGTTCTGGAACAGCAGGCCGCAGTGAGGGCAGGCCAGGTCGGCGGCGTCCATCAGACCCTCCTCCATCCCCTGGGGCTCCCCCAGCAGCGAGGCCTCGTCCTCGCCGTGGGAGTCGGACTCGCCGCCGTGGGACTCGCCGCAGCGCTCGGCGTGTTCCTGCAGCTGCCGACCTTTGATCAGCACTTGGCCGCAGCGGCCGCAGGCGCAGATGTGGCCCATGTGGCTGGACAGGTAGTGGGCGGAGCGGTCCTCCTCGCTGAGGAGGGCACCGCAGAGTTCGCAGGGGGCGGAGTCTGCCTCCTGCTTCTCATCTTTGACCTTCCTCAGCTTCGACGGGATCCCGGCATCGCTGCTGCTCGGCAGATGAACCTCGGCCGACTCGCTGCGGTTCTCCGAGCCGTGGATCGGCGCCATGCGCTCCCGGAGAGGGTCTTTGCGGGTGGCGGCACTCCGATGTCTGGCCCCCTGCTCGCCCACCTGGACCATCTCGCCGTCAGGGAACGGGCTTCCTTCTGGTTCTGTTTTGATGCCCCTGGTGGAGCCGGGCTCGCCGTCAGTCGCCGCCGCCTCCGACCCGGCGGGGAGCTCGGGGTCGGCGTGGCCGTTGGCCCAGTCGTCCTCCCCCTTTGCAGACTACTCTGTGGTCTTCGGCGCTCTCGGAGGCGGAGCTCTCGGCTTTGCTGGAGCTGGCGTCGCCATCGGTGCTGCCTCTGGGCGGATGATACGCCTTCCTGTTGGTGCAGGTCAGGATGTGCTCGATCAGAAGCTTCTCGCAGCTGAAGACGAAGCCGCAGTCGTCGCAGGTGTAGGTGCGGCCGAACCTGGGCCGGTCTTTGAAGGTAGAACTCCTGCCGCCGGGCCTCTTCCTCAGGTCGCACGGCTGCTCAGAGGCTCCGTCTGCAGTGGTCGGAGCCCCGACCAAAGGAGCGCCGACCGCCTCCTCTGCCGCCACGGGTCTGCTGGCTGCTGCAGGGACTGCCTCTGGCGGCGTGGGCCTCTGCTGCTCGTACATCCGAACCCCGAACATCATCTTCCCCCCAGAGAGGCTGGCGGAGGATGAGGAGGATGAGGAGGAGGAAGAGGAGGGGGTGAGGTTGGAGCTGCGGATGTCCCTGAGGTCCTCCAGAGAGTCGGGGATGTAGTACATCTGCAGGTAGGACATGGAAGACTTGAGCTCCTCGAACTCGTAGCTGCCGACCACGATGCGGCCCAGATACATGAGCTGCAGGATCAGGTCGAAGCACTCGGCGCTGATCTGCATGTTGCTGAGGTCCAGTTGCCCCGCCCCCTGCTGGTCGCGGATGAACATCATCCTGAAGTAGGAGCTGCAGGCTGCCAGCACGGCCTTGTGGGCCCTGAAGTAGATGTCCCCGATGGCGATGAGGCAGTCGCACAGGAAGCCCCACTCCCGCTGGTTGTTGAGCTGCTGGAGGACGTGATCGCTGTGGCTGGGCCGCGCCATCGCCCTGCAGACGACACACACACACACACACACGGTTAACACCTTCGCAGCGCTACGATGACTCAGCATCAATCAGAGGACGGCGTGCTGCCGGGGGGGGCGGGGCTCCAACTGGGCCAGAAACCATCCGGCTCATCTGATCTCTGAACATCTCAGAACCTGAGGACCAGATGAGGCAGGTGGGCGGAGCCATCTCCAATCCTCACGTCGGGTTCTAGTCACGTTCTGGTCAGGTTCTATTCGGGCTCTAGTCATGTTCTGGTCAGGTTCTAGTCGGGTTCTAGCCGGGCTCTAGTCATGTTCTAGCCGGGCTCTGGTCGAGTTCTAGTCGGGTTCTAGTCAGGTTCTAGTCACGTTCTGGTCGGGCTCTAGTCGGGTTCTAGTCACGTTCTGGTCGGGCTCTAGTCATGTTCTAGCCGGGTTCTAGTCAGGCTCTAGTCATGTTCTAGTCGGGTTCTATTCGGGCTCTAGTCATGTTCTAGTCGGGCTCTAGTCATGTTCTGGTCAGGTTCTAGTCATGTTCTAGCCGGGCTCTGGTCGAGTTCTAGTCGGGTTCTAGTCAGGTTCTAGTCGGGTTCTAGTCATGTTCTAGCCGGGCTCTAGTCATGTTCTAGTGAGGCTCTAGTCGGGTTCTAGTCATGTTCTATTCGGGCTCTAGTCATGTTCTGGTTGGGTTCTAGTCGGGCTCTAGTCATGTTCTAGTCGGGTTCTAGTCAGGCTCTAGTCATGTTCTAGTCGGGTTCTAGTCAGGTTCTAGTCGGGTTCTAGTCATGTTCTAGCCGGGCTCTAGTCATGTTCTAGTCGGGCTCTAGTCGGGTTCTAGTCATGTTCTATTCGGGCTCTAGTCATGTTCTGGTTGAGTTCTAGTCGGGCTCTAGTCATGTTCTAGTCGGGTTCTAGTCAGGCTCTAGTCATGTTCTAGTCGGGTTCTAGTCAGGCTCCAGTCATGTTCTAGTCGGGCTCTAGTCATGTTCTGGTCAGGTTCTAGTCGGGTTCTAGTCACGTTCTAGTCATGTTCTGATCGGGCTCTATTCATGTTCTAGCTGGGTTCTAGTCGGGCTCTAGTCATGTTCTGGTCAGGTTCTAGTCGGGCTCTAGTCATGTTCTAGTCAGGCTCTAGTCACGTTCTAGTCGGGTTCTAGTCACGTTCTATTCGGGCTCTAGTCATGTTCTAGTCGGGCTCTAGTCATGTTCTAGTCGGGCTCTAGTCATGTTCTAGTCGGGCTCTAGTCCTGTTCTAGTCGGGCTCTAGTCCTGTTCTAGTTGGGCTCTAGTCCTGTTCTAGTCGGGTTCTAGTCGGGCTCTAGTCATGTTCTAGATGGGCTCTAGTCATGTTCTGGTCGGGTTCTAGTCGAGCTCTAGTCATGTTCTAGTCGGGTTCTAGTCGGGCTCTAGTCATGTTCTAGTCGGGTTCTAGTCAGGTTCTAGTCATGTTCTAGTCGGGTTCTATTCGGGCTCTAGTCATGTTCTAGTCGGGCTCTAGTCATGTTCTGGTCAGGTTCTAGTCACGTTCTAGTCATGTTCTGATCGGGCTCTAGTCATGTTCTAGCTGGGTTCTAGTCGGGCTCTAGTCATGTTCTGGTCAGGTTCTAGTCGGGTTCTAGTCACGTTCTAGTCATGTTCTGATCGGGCTCTAGTCATGTTCTAGCTGGGTTCTAGTCGGGCTCTAGTCATGTTCTGGTCAGGTTCTAGTCGGGCTCTAGTCATGTTCTAGTCGGGTTCTAGTCGGGCTCTAGTCATGTTCTGGTCAGGTTCTAGTCATGTTCTGGTCGGGCTCTAGTCCTGTTCTAGCCGGGTTCTATTTGGGCTCTAGTCATGTTCTAGTCAGGTTCTAGTCGGGCTCTAGTCATGTTTTGGTCAGGTTCTAGTCGGGTTCTATTCGGGCTCTAGTCATGTTCTAGCTGGGTTCTAGTCGGGCTCTAGTCATGTTCTGGTCAGGTTCTAGTCGGGCTCTAGTCATGTTCTAGTCAGGCTCTAGTCACGTTCTAGTCGGGTTCTAGTCACGTTCTATTCGGGCTCTAGTCATGTTCTAGTCGGGCTCTAGTCATGTTCTAGTCGGGCTCTAGTCATGTTCTAGTCGGGCTCTAGTCCTGTTCTAGTCGGGCTCTAGTCCTGTTCTAGTTGGGCTCTAGTCCTGTTCTAGTCGGGTTCTAGTCGGGCTCTAGTCATGTTCTAGATGGGCTCTAGTCATGTTCTGGTCGGGTTCTAGTCGAGCTCTAGTCATGTTCTAGTCGGGCTCTAGTCATGTTCTAGTCGGGTTCTAGTCAGGTTCTAGTCATGTTCTAGTCGGGTTCTATTCGGGCTCTAGTCATGTTCTAGTCGGGCTCTAGTCATGTTCTGGTCAGGTTCTAGTCACGTTCTAGTCATGTTCTGATCGGGCTCTAGTCATGTTCTAGCTGGGTTCTAGTCGGGCTCTAGTCATGTTCTGGTCAGGTTCTAGTCGGGTTCTAGTCACGTTCTAGTCATGTTCTGATCGGGCTCTAGTCATGTTCTAGCTGGGTTCTAGTCGGGCTCTAGTCATGTTCTGGTCAGGTTCTAGTCGGGCTCTAGTCATGTTCTAGTCGGGTTCTAGTCGGGCTCTAGTCATGTTCTGGTCAGGTTCTAGTCATGTTCTGGTCGGGCTCTAGTCCTGTTCTAGCCGGGTTCTATTTGGGCTCTAGTCATGTTCTAGTCAGGTTCTAGTCGGGCTCTAGTCATGTTTTGGTCAGGTTCTAGTCGGGTTCTATTCGGGCTCTAGTCATGTTCTAGCCGGGTTCTAGTCAGGCTCTATTCATGTTCTATTCGGGCTCTAGTCATATTCTATTCGGGCTCTGGTCGGGTTCTACTTGGATTCTAGTCATGTTCTAGTCAGGCTCTAGTCACGTTGTAGTCGGGTTCTAGTCATGTTCTGGTCAGGTTCTAGTCGGGTTATATTCGGGCTCTAGTCATGTTCTAGCCGGGTTCTAGTCGGGCTCTAGTCATGTTCTATTCAGGCTTTAGTCATGTTCTATTCGGGCTCTGGTCGGGTTCTAGTCGGGCTCTGGTCGGGTTCTAGTCGGGCTCTGGTCGGGTTCTATTCGGGCTCTGGTCGGGTTCTAGTTGGGTTCTAGTCATGTTCTGGTCGGGCTCTAGTCATGTTCTAGTCACGTTCTAGTTGGGTTCTAGCCGGGCTCTAGTCATGTTCTGGTCAGGTTCTAGTCGGGTTCTAGTCAGGCTCTAGTCATGTTCTAGCCGGGTTCTAGTCGTGTTCTATTCGGGCTCTAGTCGTGTTCTATTCAGGTTCTAGTCATGTTCTATTCGGGCTCTAGTCATGTTCTGGTCGGGTTCTAGCCGGGTTCTAGTCAGGCTCTAGTCGTGTTCTAGCCGGGTTCTATTCGGGCTCTAGTCGTGTTCTAGCCGGGTTCTAGTCGGGCTCTAGTCATGTTCTATTCGGGCTCTAGTCGTGTTCTAGCCGGGTTCTAGTCATGTTCTGGTCGGGTTCTTGCCGGGTTTTAGTCAGACTCTAGTCATGTTCTATTCGGGCTCTGGTCGGGTTTTATTCGGGCTCTGGTCAGGTTCTATTCGGGCTCTGGTCGGGCTCTAGCCATGTTCTAGCCAGGCTCCAGTCATGTTCTATTCGGGCTCTAGTCGGGTTCTATTCGGGCTCTGGTCATGTTCTAGTTGGGTTCTAGTCATGTTCTAGTCGGGCTCTAGTCATGTTCTAGTCGGGCTCTTGTCATGTTCTGGTCGGGCTCTAGTCATGTTCTGGTCGGGCTCTAGCCATGTTCTGGTCGGGCTCTAGCCATGTTCTGGTCGGGCTCTAGTCATGTTCTGGTCGGGCTCTAGTCATGTTCTAGTTGGGTTCTAGTCATGTTCTGGTCGGGCTCTAGTCATGTTCTGGTCTGGCTCTAGTCATGTTCTGGTCTGGCTCTAGTCATGTTCTGGTCGGGCTCTAGTCATGTTCTGGTCTGGCTCTAGTCATGTTCTGGTCGGGCTCTAGCCATGTTCTGGTCGGGCTCTAGTCATGTTCTGGTCTGGCTCTAGTCATGTTCTGGTCGGGCTCTAGCCATGTTCTGGTCTGGCTCTAGTCATGTTCTGGTCGGGCTCTAGCCATGTTCTGGTCGGGCTCTAGCCATGTTCTGGTCGGGCTCTAGCCATGTTCTGGTCGGGCTCTAGCCATGTTCTGGTCGGGCTCTAGTCATGTTCTGGTCGGGCTCTAGTCATGTTCTGGTCGGGCTCTAGTCATGTTCTGGTCTGGCTCTAGTCATGTTCTGGTCGGGCTCTAGTCATGTTCTGGTCTGGCTCTAGTCATGTTCTGGTCGGGCTCTAGCCATGTTCTGGTCTGGCTCTAGTCATGTTCTGGTCGGGCTCTAGCCATGTTCTGGTCGGGCTCTAGCCATGTTCTGGTCTGGCTCTAGTCATGTTCTGGTCGGGCTCTAGTCATGTTCTGGTCTGGCTCTAGTCATGTTCTGGTCGGGCTCTAGCCATGTTCTGGTCGGGCTCTAGTCATGTTCTGGTCGGGCTCTAGCCATGTTCTGGTCGGGCTCTAGCCATGTTCTGGTCGGGCTCTAGCCATGTTCTGGTCGGGCTCTAGCCATGTTCTGGTCGGGCTCTAGTCATGTTCTGGTCGGGCCTACATGGAGAGAAAACATCTTTAGAAGAAGTTCTCCAAAAGTTTGGACTCTGACCCCCTGAGTGGAGGTGGACCGGTGGTTCTGAAGAGGTTCTGATTCTGATCCAGTTGATCCACTCTGACCCAAACCATGAAGCTTAAAACTGAAACATTAAAACTATTAAAGCTCCTCGCTGCTGCTTAGACGTCATGATGAAGGTTTAAAGAAGCGAATATTAATCAGAAAAACTCAGAATCCGATTAAACTTTAAGGAAAATGTTTCATCTTTTTCCCACCGACCAGAAAAGTTCAGTCTTTCTGCCTCCGGAACCTTATTTGAGCCAAAGACCGGTGTGACAGATCAACTGGGGAGGAGATCAACTGGTGACGGCAGCTGGAAAACCGCTGATTTTTGCAGATGTGTCTGTGGGCG